AGTTTTTCAACAAATGATTCAAGATCATCATCTTCTTCATCATCACTTTCAGATTGAGAGTGTATGGAAGTTACCTCATTATCTCCAATAGCCATGAAGGCCATTTGAGCTGATTCTTCCTCTTCTTCAACTTCCCCTTCGGAGTTGCATTCATTCCAAGTAATCTGGAAGTTGTTGAATCTTGGTTTTCGATCAGCTTTCCCATCTTTCATTTTCTTCATGGGGCATTCGTTTGCATAGTGTCCAGGTTGTCCACATTCATAGCATTTGTCCACTTGCTTCTTGTTGAATTCTTGTTTTCCTTTGTTCCTTGCATTTGATGAATAATTTTGGAATTGATTGCTAGGTCCTCCCCTTCTAAATTTCCTTTTATTCAAGATTCTCTTGAAGCCCCTTGTGATAAGAGCAAGATCATTATCATCACCATCCGAGTCTTCATCATCCAAGTGAGTTGGATCATCTTCACCTTGAGTAGTCTTTAGAGCAATGTTTCTCTTTGCTCTAGCATCCTCTTCCTCCTGCAATTTAGATTTCAACTTCAACTCATAAGAGGTTAGTGAGTTAATGAGAGATTCAATAGGCACAGAATTTAAATCTTTAGCCTCCTCTATTGCAGTCACTTTATTTTCCCATTCTTTGTCCAATGCATTGAGAATTTTCCTGTTCTTCTCTCTCAAGGTGTACTCTTTGCCCAACACCTCGAGATCTTTGATCAAGTCATTGAACCTGCAATACATTTTGTCAATATCCTCAAGAGGTTCAATTTTAAATGATTCATACTTTGTGACCAAGATAGTCTTTTTCTGTTCTCTCACGTTGTCACCACCCTCATGGATCTCTCTTAGCTTATCCCACATTTCTTTGGCCGATTTACAGCCTTTTACTCTAATTGATTCATTTGAATCTAAGGCACTATAAAGAACATTCATGGCTTTGGCATTCAATGTGAGATTAGTCCTATCTTGAGCATTCATTTCAGCTCTTGTTTTTGGCCGAAGCAACCCTGTATCTGCATCAAGAAAGTTAGCTTCATGCGGTCCTTCACTCACAATAAATCATAGCTCAATATCAATAGATTACAAAAAGATAATCATCATTTCTTTCCAGCTAACATAATTGGAACCACTAAACATGGGAGGCCTAGTAACAGATTGCCCCTCAACAAACATAGCATGACTGGTTGTCATCTTTACTCCAAGCCGCTTGAGCTTAATCTCTAGGAGACCAAGCTCTGATACCAATTGTAAGGCCCAAAGACAACCTAAGAGGGGGGTGAATTAGGTTGATTAAAATCTTAATCAAATTTATGCAATTTTTTGCTTAATAAAAATTTACCTTCTTTTCTAGTAATGCTCAATCAAGTAGATTAGAAGAAGAGAGCAATATTGATTCGAAAAATAAGTATAGATAAGCAATGAGAATTTTATTAAACAAAAAAGAATAAGATAGAATATCAAACCGATTGTCTACCAAGCTTTCCTCAAACTTGAAGACCAATCACTAGGTTGAGCAACTTCTCTTTGATGAAAGATGATCAACTAGATGTACAATGGAGGGAGCACTTCCTCCTTGCCCTAAGCCTCACTTAGACAAGCTAAGAAGTTTTACAATCACTCAGATAACCCTCAACAAAGCTACACTAAAGAAACTTTCAATCACAAAAGAAATGCTCACAAGAAATTCACACCACTTGGAGAACAAATCTAGCTTTGGAGACTATTTTCAAGCTAAAATATCTCTTGAGATCTTGTAGACAAAGTGTGCAAAAGTTCTGCTCAGATTCAGAATCGTTTGTATTTAAAGGTAACCAAGAATGGGCTTCATTAATGCTTCCAACGGATAGAAGGCAGATGAAGAGTCAGCTAGCCGTTGGGGCTGTCGGACGTCCGACAGATTAGTCATCGTCCGATCCCATCGTCCGAAAAACAGTCAAGTTGTTGTTCGGACGTCCGATGGAATTTTACCGTCCAAGCTTCTGTGTCCGAACGTCGTCCAGAGAGTTATCAAAGCTTCGTGGAATTTTTAGGACGTCCAATGCGATCGATGTGCGTCCGAGGAGTGCGTCCGATCCATCCGGACGTCCGATGCTTCCTCACGAGCGTCCGACAGAATCTTCTTCTTAATGATCTTCATCCTTTCGGACGTCCGACAGATTCCTTCGGACGTCCGACATGAGTGTCCTGTTTTTGCTTCTTCTTTTGGTTGATTTTCATTTCTTGACATATTCGTACCTGATTCTTTGATAGGCAAAAAACACTTGTATTTTGAAGAGAGTTAGATAAACATTTCAAAGTACTTTGTGATCATCAAAACCAAGAATAACACCAGGCATTCCAACCCAAAGACCTTAAGGTCAAGGGTTCGAATCCTGGGGAGGCCCCCCTCCAAGCACCACCAGGGTTTCAAGGGCTCATCCTTAACCCCAAGACGGTGCCGAGGCGGACAAATACACAATTGGCCTCCACAAAAAGGTTGCGTATTTGTCCGCCTTGGCACAACCATTGTACAAAGTTCATCAATCCAACCATTGTACAAAGTCCATCAACCATGTAAGTATTGTAGTTGATGTAAATTTTCTTCATCAATAAAATATTTTGCCTTATCTTGATATCTATAATTTTATGTTGCGTTAATTTGTTATAACCCAATATCAAAAACTTGTCTAAAGTTTTTTCTACTTGTGCTTAAATACTTTTATACTAAAATTATAAATTAATTCTTAAAGGCCTGTGAGTCAATCTTATATCAAAAAGTACCCATACCTAAGATAAATAGGGGAAAAAGAGACTTTAAAGATTTGAACATGCCAATAAAGAATCAAGAAATAATTTAGGTACAATAGTAGTAACAAAGATACTGACTGAGACAATCTTTACTTGAGTAGGAATTGCTCCTACATTTTGTTGGATTGTAATACATTAAGGATTAATTTTTTCTACACTGACAGTGTATACAGTATCAGCATTGGATGAATGACAACTATGCAAAATTTGAATTTGAAATTCAACTTTTGTACACATGTCATGAATTCAACGATGATAGTATATACACCGTCAGTGTAGGAAAGATTTACTCATACATTAATTAGCTAAACATGGTCTTAGGTGAGGAACTTTATTCAATAGGTAATTTAGGAACAAATTTTAAGAAAAGACAAGAAAACTTGTTAAAAACTAGCAAGAAAAATAAAAATAATATAAGAAAGTAATAAGAAGTCTTTTGTAGAACACAAACTCTAATAAATAATAGAGTATTAAAATTATCAAAGTGGAAAAAAAATCAAAACTTATAATCATGAAAAGTAATCGCGCTTGATATTCAGATTGTTTACAACCCTATGATTTACTCTTAGTAAAATGGGGGATGAGTATCATAGAAGATATTATATGTACGATTAAAAAAGTTTGGGGTTAAAAATACATGTTTAATCTAGGGTAAAATACACAAAACTCCCTTGTGGTTTGGCATTTGGACATGATACTTCCTCATTATTTAAAAACACCCACATAACCCCCTCGTACTTTAGACTAAAGTGAAATTTGACCGGCAACCTGTATGCTACCTACAAGTGATGTATTATTATTTTTTAATATATTTTTTAATTTTATTGTCATTTTTTCTTTCAATTTTGGTGCTTTGACTTAACTATCATAGGTATTTTTACAAATTTTATATTATTGATGCACTTTCAAAATTTTTTTAAAATTATTCATATCCTCTCACTGTTTTCCTCTGCCATCTCTCTCTACTACCGCAAGTCACCACCATCGCCCGCGGCTTTGTCTCCAAAAATTCTTCCAAAACAATGGCCATTTCATGAATTTCATAAGCTTCCATCATAAAATTCTTGAAAAAGTAGACAAATCAGATGAGTGAAAATGGCAAGTTTCGGAAATGGAAAATCTCCAACTGTCCTCTTTCTTCTGCCTTCGTGAGATCATAGCAAAAATTATTCATACCCTCTCCCTCTTTTCCTCTGCCATCTCTCTCTACCACCGCTAGTCGCCACCACCGCCTGCGACTTTGTCTCCAAAGATTCTTCCATAACAATGGCCCCAAAATCCAAATTCACCCAAAAATCCAAGAAAAAATTTCATAAATTTCATAAGCTCCCACCATAAAATTCTTGAAAAAGTAGACAAATCAGATGAGTGAAAATGGCAAGTTTCAGAAATGGAAAATCTCCAACTACAAGTCCTTTTCTTCTTTCTCCCCGAAATCATAGCAAAAATGAGACCCATCTGTAGAATTCCTTTGCCCAATTTTTGGGTCTTTGATGGCTGATGCTGTGGTGCCCATTTTTGCCGTAAGGGACTAGATCTGTAGCAATACATAAAAATACAAACCAACCCACTACCTCTCATATTATGGTACTCCAAATTTGTAGGATTTTAGACCTTGGGTGGAGAGGATGGTGGTGTGAAGTGGTGGAGGGGGATGGGGAGTAGGAGAGAGGAGGAAAAAGAAATAAAAGGTGAAAATGAAGAAAAAAGAAAAGAAAGAAAGAATAAAAAAATAAGCAGATGCCAAGACCCCGGTTGTGGAGAATGTGAAATGGAGGAAACAGGAGAGCAAGAATAGAAAAGAAAAGGAAAAAAAGGAAAGGAAACAAAAATAAAATAAAAAAGAAAAAATTAATAATAGACAGACTACTGATTCAAAGCAGGTCAAAATGCGTAATTCTATTCTAGTCCAAAGCACGAGAGGCTAATGTAGGTGTTTTTAAATACTGAAGAGGTAGTGTATCAAATAGTGAAACCACAAGAAGGTTTTCTATATTTTACCCTTAGTAAAATTATATTATGAATTTTCAATTAAAAAGCCGCATTGAGATTTTGTGTTACTTTGCAGGACCAATATAAAGCCTTTTTTCCCCCTTTTTGGTTTAAGGTACCAAATTGACATGTTCCACCACTTTGGAAGACCAAATTAAGACCTTTTCAGTTTGAGGAACCAAATTGAGATTTTTAACCTCTTTGAAAGGCCAATATGGAATTAACCCATAGGCATTTCACCCAATTGCTGGTTTGGTACCGGTACATCAGAAATTGACATGATAAAAATGGACAGGACGCCTCATCCGTAACGGATAAGGGGGGGATCCCTTCCCGGCCAACACTTGACAACCTCCCTTCAAAATCAAACACACAGCATACGCTACACTAAGCCCCAAGCTCCTCGCCAGTGGCCCCATTTTCCGCCATTTTCTCCACTTTAACTGCGTTAAAAGCTTGTCAATTTGAAAACCCACAAGGTCAATGAAGCTCTCGAGAAGAGACATCCTTCATGGACTTGCCTAGATGCAATCAGTATTAACACTTGCTCCTGCTCTGCCTGCAGGTAACTTTATCATATGAACTCATCCAATGAATCTTTTATCCTATCTGCCTTTGAATATCTGCATTCAATTTCTTCTAAGTTTCTTGCAGGAATGATCTTTTGTACAATGTTGTGGTCTAGTTTGTTTCTTTCCTTAATTTTACCCATAAATGTCTGAACTGGATATGTAGGGGCATATTCTTTGAAGTCTTTGCGCATACCATATCTGCATGTGACTGGAAGTACTGTGCTACATTGTAACAAATCTGCCTTTAAGCTGTAATTGTACCCAAAAATCTTACTTGCTAAACTGCTGAGGTATTTTGGCATGAACGGCTTTGTGCTTTTAGTAATTCAAGTTTCCAACCTTTAAACCCTTTAATTGAAAGTAAAAAGTAAAGAAGAAAATGGATGCTTTCACCTTCGTATTGATTTAGAGTTTAGGATAACATTTCACTTAAAAGTACTTGAGGAAGAAGGTAGGGTGGTTCTTGCTCCTCTATTGTGTTACTGGGACATCATAGGCAGGCGAGTTAAATTTCAACTGGCTCAATTTGCAGTTTTACACTGTCAGTTGAAGTATTCAGATCATTTATAATGACTAATTTGGTATGTAGAAAAGAAATAACGAACCAAAGGAATTTGCTATGTATTATTTATGCTCAATACAAGAAATTCACTTTCATTTATTACCTTTCCACACACAAATCCAGAGTGTGTAAATCAACCTGGCAGCTCCTTATCCAGGTTGAAGGGTTACAGAAGGTTGGGATATGCTGTTGCAGGCACTTGATTTTTGTGTCTGGTGGGAAATGTTAATTCCTGAACCTTTTGTCCTTAAACTTCCATTTTTGTTTGTGGATTTATCAGGGTATTAACTACCTGCATTATGAGAGAACTTTTTAGCCACCAGAGCTTTTGATCTACTATTAACTTCTAATGCAATTGACGTGAACCATTCATGTGTTGAATCAGGTTCTTTTGTTGCATCGGTGAGATCAGTTAAATTCTTTCTTGAACTACTATTCTGGGGCTTATGGACATGTTTTGGTATTTCTGATTCTTGTTTTCCTTTTATTTTGGTTGGTTCTTCTTTCTGTGAATCATCAGTGGATTCTGGTTGCCATCGTGTGTTGAGCAATTTAGCATGGATTCTTCCCTGTTTATCTGTCTCTTTGGTTCTCTGTTGAGTAGTCTCTTTAAAATATCTATGAAAGTTATAGTTGTTCTCTTAGTTTTCCTGTAAATTACTATTTTGAATCACATTATTTTTTAATTTTAGCCTGTACTTTAGCCTATTGATGTTGCATATCATGATTATCATTATACAATTAATACAAGAAAAACATCAATAGTTTCAGTTTAAAAGACAGCACAATCACAACAAAATCCATTGCTCTAGGTGAGGAGGCCATGGGTTCAAGATAACAAGGTTTTGGGTAGGTAAGTGTATAGTTGCTTTACAATATTGAAGATGGTTTGTTAGGTTTCTTATGCAACTGATAGGTCTAGTTCAATGAAGAATAGTTGATCTCTGAGAGGTTAACCTATGCCTAACCTATGCCTTTGATTCACTCTTTCTTGGTTGTTCTATATGAAGTTTATTAAGCATTAACAAAGTCTGCAAGTGACAGGGCACAATATTGCCCTTGGTTGAATGTTCTATCCATCCATCATCCATATTTTTGAACAATGATTGCAGACATATCGCTTTTCCATTTGAAGAAATAGAAGAAAACTGAAAAATGGCATCTACATCGATTCTCCTCCCATCAGGTACTTGCAACTCTAGACTTAAGTATGCCACTTTCTTTAGAGAGAGCTTCATTTCTTCTTCCTTCCAGTACCTGGGGGAATATGTCTTTAATTCATTCTGCATTATCATGATGGTCTGAACCAGTATCTACTTGATTGGTTGCTCTAGTGCTGTATAAAAAATTTGGAATTTCTAGGAGTCATTGAACACTTTTTTTAGCAAGTTTAGACCAAATGGAGGTGATACTTGCCAGGTAGCTTGGATAAAGAATCTGAAAGACACAATATGATTAGCTCATATCAATGTGGTTGCAGTCTGCGTTGCCCTTGTTAGCCAAAGGATGATAGTTATTGCCAAGTTCCCAGCATCTGAACATTTTCGCACTTACAAGAAGAGTATTCTTTGACTATTTTTTTTTTTTTTTGATAGATCACTGTTTAAGTTAGCTCATATAGAAATTTTACTCTTATTATGGTTTTATTCTTGACCTTTCAGCCATCTCTTTTTCTACTTCTCATCTTCTCATCCAGGCGCAAGATATTGTTTGGTTTATCCATCAGAAACTTGCTTCCCTAATGTTGTTTGGTACCTCATGGGGATCATTATTTTTCTGCTGTTTGTTCAAAATGAAAATAATTAAAACCTAAAATTTCTGCTAGTAGCCCAAGCATAAATTTATAAATAATTTGCACTTCCTGTCTTGATGAATCATTCCTGTTGGTGTAGGTCCTGCATGTATTACAAGTTTCAAAACCAAGGAGCAAACAACCACAAAGAGCCAAATGCAAGGTGTTACTATACGTTGCTCAAGTTCAGGGCTCAGAGTACAAGATGCCACTGCTTCACAATGTGGAAAAGTGTGTTCGATCAATCGTAGAGATGTGCTAGGGATGGCTTTTGGTCTCTCAAGTATCCTATTATTTTCATTTTCTTCTGAAGCAGCTGGGTTGCCTCCAGAGCAAAAACCAAGATTGTGTGATGATGATTGCGAGAAAGAGCTTGAAAATGTACGGTGAGATTACAAACTCTCTAGTACATCTGTTTGCTTTCCTCTTGAAAACATTTTCCTGAACCATGGTCATAATCTGCCGCACAATTTGATCTAAGATATTAAGGAAACTAGTACACTTCTTTTTATTATGTCTTTTAGTTTGCCTTTAAGTCATCATGCATGTTAACATAGAATAAGCTAGTTAAAAATGAACAGCATTAGTTATTGAACAATTTCATTTTAATTTCATGTCATAGGAGAATACCATGCATGCTGTAGTTGAAATGTTTTAGTCAGCCCCATTACCTATAAAGAAATGCTGCAACCCAACCTTTCTGATCCTGAGATTTTGACAACCCTCCTCTTTTTACTTTAGCCCTCAAGTGGCAGATGCACTTTTAATATTCGCTGTCAAATTCTGGTCACTTGTCCTGTTTTGGATACTGATTTGGTTTTGTGGTTGTCAGTCTGCCTATGAATTAATGTCACGTATCATTCACATCTTAGCTCACTATTGTGAAAAGAAAATGGATCGATTTTCATTGAATTCTTTTAACCAACGGTGGAACTGTATCCGCAACTGCTAGCAGTGCAAAGTTAAACAAGCTTCATAATCGCTGTTTTGGCTCATCAGCTAATACCAAAAATGTACCAGTTCTGTGATATAATTGCTGCACCATAATGCCATCACAATTGCTTAGTGGACTATAGCAGTTGCCAACTTTTGGAAATGCATGTGAAATTCCTGCTAAATCTGCAATACTTTGTGAAATCCTAATTTTGCTACATTTGGCATCAATACAAGAAGTAGCCACTTGATGAGAAACTGATTTTAGTAGTTCTCATGCATTCTGACATCTTTAAATAAGCTTCACGTCATGGCCTACATTTGAGAACATCCATCAACTTGCTTTTCAAGAAAATAGTAAGTTATTTGGAGTGTTCTCTGTCTTTCTTTTTAGTTTGCAGCAGTCTGCAAGGTATCATTACTGGAAGTCAATTTGACACCAGTATCTACTATCTCTTGTGTATTGTTGATATGAGCCCAGGGAACAACAGAAGTTGGACAACAGTAACTTGAAACTGTTATCAATTTGATTGGTTTTATATCTAGATCCTTACCATTCAGATGTCAGCCTAACAGATTCGCTAACCAATTGGAGGTATCCATAGTTTCTAGAGGGGAATCTTGTTTAACTTTAAATTTCCAGACTGCTTATAGCAACAAAATTGCTGCAGTAAGGTGCTCAGAAATTTTTAGGCTCCTTTTAGCAATATCTATTTACTATCTTTTTATTCATCTTCCATTCAATTGTTAAAGTTTTCTTGCTCGACAATGGGTAACAGTCACTTTAACTATATTTACCTGAAACTGTATCCGAGTGATAGAGATCCAATCAACTGACTGAGGTATTACACATTTATGATGAATGCTGATCAACAATCTGCTTTGGATATCTTTCACTTGCAATCAAGTCAAAGAACAATATAGAGTTCTATTTCAATCTCCATAGAGAATTTATAAACAGGAAGATTTGAAACTCAAACCATAAAAACAGTTTCTTTATCTAGGAAGTTTGGGCATATTGATGCTTCTCTCTGTGCAATTGGCACAAAATCTTTGTCAAAAAAAATGTATCTTTGGAAATTGTCTTTTATATTGTCCTCTGAACTTTGTAGCTTAAAAAACTTAAATAAAGAATTTTGGATTGCCTAAGGTTCATCTGTACTTTTTTAACATCTGATCACTGTAGTTACACTAAACTGGGAAACTGTCAACTGATAAAGGTACCTATGGTAACTACTGAGTCGGGTCTGCAGTACAAAGATATTAAAGTTGGTGGTGGCCCTAGTCCCCCCGTTGGCTTTCAGGTAAATTACATCTGACAGTAAAAGAACATGCAAAATGCTGAAGTTTTGGAATGTGATCAAGTCCTTCATTTAATCACTTACTCTGTAGAGATGTTCTGCTGGCAATATATAGAGATACCTGTAATCTTTGTTCTCACTTGATTTGATCCTTTATGTCTGTATATCTTATCCAATTTTGGATTAACTCATCACACTAAAATAGTGTAATTGGCCCTTGGATTTTTTTTGTTAATCTCTACCTATTTTTTTAAAATTCAGATCAAACTAAAGACATTAAGCATAACACATTTTTTGTTTTTGGAGATAATCGCATTTTGGTCTTTATTTCCCTTGAGAATGTTTTATGTGCTCTTCTTTTGCCTATACCATTCATACAGGTGGCTGCTAATTATGTTGCCATGGTACCATCTGGGCAGATATTTGACAGGTACACTTGGTGACCTTTTTAACGTCTGTTCCATTATTAAATCACTTATAGAACCATACTGGAATTTTATATAGTTTTTATTTTTCATCTTTGTGTGGAATAAGTATTGCAACTGTCTAGTCGGCCATAAACCAATCTGCTGTAGTTACAGATGTAAAAATTTCAATACTGGACAGATAAATGAACTTCTTGTGCACATTGTGATACAAATACTGTATCAAGATTTTGAGCCATATCCTTTCATCTTTGGCATCTAAAATGGAAATAGGCTTGAAAAAAGAAAACAATTATTGGTACCTTAAATCAGTTAGAATACAAAATGAAATACATAACTTGTTTCTTTTCTTGTTCATTGTTAAGACTAAGCTATTGTGCTCATACTTCTCTTTCTGCTCATCTTCCTTTCTGATTGACATTACAGTTCACTGGAGAAAGGTCAGCCTTATATTTTCCGCGTTGGATCTGGTCAGGTACGTTTATCACAAGTATTTGACAGTGTCTGCAGTCCAGTTATACTACCATCACATAATCCTTAGATAAGGAACAATCCTAGCTCGGTTCATGGTATGGACAAAAGGATCCTTCAACATTAACTCATTATTTTCAGCTAAAACCCTACACTTTGGGCCCACTGTATCTAATGACCAGATCACTAACTCCAATTTTCCCGTGCACTAGGTTACATCAGAGCTTATAAAAAAAACACATTCATAACAACTCAAGCGAATCAGTTCAGATGATCCTCTGATTTTCTTTTTGTAATGGAAATGCTATGCTAAATAATTTGATATCTTTGCTAAAGGTATAATGTGTCAACTTAATCATCAAGAAATAAGATCCAGCTTAATCATCTTTAGATTTCGTTGAATATATTTCCATGCTATCTCATTATCTTCTTGCTGGAGGGGAGCTAGGAAGCCTTCTGAAAACTGGAACTTGGTTTTACTATGGACTTTGATCCCAGATGCTTTTGTATAAGGAGATTTTTCCCCCCCTACTTCTTAGATTGGCTAGTTTAGTCCTTGTATTCAGTAGACTGCTGTCTGTAAAACTATATATCCCCTCTATTCTTGATACCAATGAATATTTTGCTTTTAAGCATCCTTTTTGATTACCAATTCAAGCAACTAGTGTAGGTGATCAAGGGACTCGATGAAGGGATCCTGAGCATGAGAGTTGGGGGCAAACGCCGTCTCTACATTCCAGGATCAGTAAGCTTTGGCCTGTTATCTTTGCTATTATATTCTTATAGGAAATCTTTTAAATACTCTGACCGTATCTATGGATGTATATTTTACAATGCATTCACACCAATCAAAGAAGTAAGAAAAGAAAAAAAAAATGAGAAGGATAACCTCCTAAACTTTCTAGCTCTGAAGGTAGATCTGTTTTAATACGAATATGGTTCGTGGAGAATCTGATACTCAACATTATATAAAACCAAGTTATAATTCATCTGCAACTTCCTAATTCTTTTCTTATTGACTTGCATTCTGCTAGTCTAACTTCCTAGAGCCATCATTCATAACTGTATTGCTGAAAGCTACCATTTAAGCAACCTAAAATTGATGAGTGGAGTTCTGTGGAAATGAAAATAAGTTACAAACTATTCGAGTTTTCAAGTTCTCTAAGATGCCATTTCATGCAAGCTTCTGCTCAATCTAAAAGAAGTGCAGAAAGTACAACATGTTTTCTTGTGTAGCTGTTCTACCATTATGAACATAATCTAAACTACCTTGAACATTTTTTCTCGTGCTACACAGTTTCATGACATTGATGTGTTTTATTTTGATGTGGATATCCTTAACTTCACCAGAGAAGTTTTAAGATCATGACTTTATTTTGTCCATTATATGACTGATTCTTTATCTTGTGTTTGAGTAGCTGGCATTTCCAAAAGGCCTCAATTCTGCTCCAGGAAGGCCAAGAGTAGCTGCTTATAGCGCAGTCATATTTGATGTGAGTTTGGAGTACATACCAGGCCTCGAATTGGAAGAGGAATGAGACCATTGACGGCTGATCAGTCATTTCTTACTGCTTAAATGTTTAGTTAGTCAGAGAACAGAAATGTGGGGAGTTTTCTTAAACTACATGTAAACCTCCATTTATTCATTTTTTTGAGCTATCTATAGCAAGTGTTTCTGTCCAAGGCCGCCTAATCTTTGAAAGGTATAGACAGCCACTACAATGGATAGAAAATCTTAAAGCCCCTTCATTTGCATCTTGAACTTTTCCTTTTATCTGTTAGAAGCTGTTAAAGGAGCATTAAATACTATGGAGAACAGCGTCCTTGGTTTTATCTCTGCTCATGATTCACGAAGAAAAGCTTTCTTTTGCAGCAGTTCTTGTCTGACTACCATAAGTACGTTGAAGCTTCAAAGCCTTCAGAACTGGCTTTAACCTCTTCACCTTTGAGCCACAGAAATTTCATGGAGCTCAACTTTCACTGATAAGAACCAGGATTCACACCCTGGATTTTGATGTATGCATGAGGCATCTAGACACTACGGACTTAAAAGATTTTGGGCCAGAATTGTGACAACATGAAAATTATCAGCGGAATTAATTGGCTTTAACATGTTCACATTCAGCTGCAGACATTTCATGTAATTAAACTTCCACTGGTTTCAGCCAGGGTTCACATCTAATCTTTGAATGTCTGTGAGACATCTAGAATCCACAATTTTGAAATGTTTTGGCCAATTTTGGGACAAAATGAATACGAACAGTTAAATATTGTCAACAGTTAAACCTTTTTATACATTTCTTGATAATTTAAGAAATGGTGAAATTTATGTCAAACTCCAAATATTTCTCTGTCTCATTGTTTAACAACACATCATTTTTAAAGTCTAATTCACTCTGCAGTTTTGGGGTTGTTTTCCCTCTAATGCCAATTCTGTGAGTGAACGAGTGATGCATGAAAGATAGGGCCAATATCTATCAATTTCCTATATATTGATATCAATTTATTTATTTTGAAATGTGACTCGTCACTTTCTTTTTAATCGAAAACAATTAGATACCGAGATAAAGTGGAGCAGTGCGGGCAATTATCCCCAATTGTCCCCACTAACCCCCCACCAAAATCTTTGTATGTACGTAAAAAATTACTTATAAGTTTAACCCACATTGAAAAAAATTTGTTCCCACTGCCATTTAATGAAATCATTTTAATACAATTTTACACTTGTTTATTTGTTGATGCATCCAAAAAAAGTCAACAACCTTAAAAATAAAAATTAATATCTTGTCTAAACAGAGAAAGAGCTAGACTTAGTTTTGAGCAAATGACAATAATAATCCCTCAACTAGTTTACTAAAGTTGAATTGGTCTATCATCCCTATTTTGGCCAATTAAATCTTTCGACTATTTTCTATAGCCAATTTAATCCTTATGTGATGGAACCATCAAAATTAAGTTTTATGCTAAAAACACTAAAAACACACTTACAATAGTTTTTTATGCTTTTAGTTGGCAAAAAAAAAGTATATGTTTAGACTAAAAGCAAGCTTTAAAGGATCAAATCTACTATTGCGTCTAGTGTGTTTAATTGGGTTGAAAATTTAGTTTCAATTTCCCTCCTCGAAATTTTATTAAACTATGTATCGAAACTTACAAAAATTGTTCCTTTTTTATTTCATCCTAATAAAAAAAATGTAGAGAAAATTTGCTAGGTTGTTAGAGAAGGGTGGAAAAAGCCTATATTAGGAATTAGAGATTTTAGAGTTACTTCTTTTTTTTTCCCACTCAACTTTAAACTGATTATGTACATAACTCTTGATATCTATTGGCTATATTATTTGCTTAACATATTTCTTTTTCATAACACAATTAGTAAAATTTCACATGTTAGGCTTTGACTTTCTGGTTATTTTTCTTCCACTCAAGAATGCTTCGAATTATAATTAGCCCTCATACCACAATTAAAAAAAAAAAGAAACAAAAAGCAAAAAAAAAAAAAAAACAAAGAAAAAGATGGAACACAAAATGTATTTTGGGAACTTGAAGAGTTAAAAGGCAACTGGAAGAATGATCCCATACCTCATCCATAACGGATAAAAGCGGGATCCCATCCAACCCTTCACAACCTTCCCACAAAATCGCACACAGTCACACACTACATATGGCAACTACTTCAGTGACAACGTTAATGTCCTCTATTTTCTCAACCTCAGTTGCATCAAATCCGAAAATCCCAGCACCCCTTTTGCAGTCATCTTCTTGCATGCAATCCCATCAAGAATTTCCCCAGCTAAGTCTCTCAAGAAGAAACCTGTTCAATGGACTTGCTATAGTGCCATTATTACTAACATCACCAGCTAAAGCTCGTGAAGTTGAAGTGGGATCTTACCTCCCTCCTTCCCCAGCTGACCCTTCTTTTGTTGTCTTTGAAGCTACTCCCAAGGACACTCCTGCTCTTCGTGCAGGTAATTTTATTCCTTGTGTACTTGGTGAAATTTAGTGTATTAATTGTATGGCATTTTGTATAAATTTTTCTCTATTTTGTGTGTGTGTGTGTGTGTGTTTTTTCACAATGCTGCATTGGATGTTGAAACACAAGTTAGCTTCCGAAACTAGGAATTCCCAAATGCTAATGTAGAGAATTAGAATATTTGTAGTTGCTAAAGTTCATTTACTGTCGATTTCTAATGTTTTATTCTCCATTATATAGTAATTTTGTTGGATTGGGGTGCTGGTTTGAACCTATCCTTGTTGAATTATGGAAATATCTTGCCAAAAAGTGAGAAAAACAGTGCTACTTGTACATTGGCAATTTACCAATAGCTGTTTAATTGAGAAAAGAAATTTATTGTAATGCTAACAATGAAAGCTAAGGAAAATTCATATGTGGCAAAAGGTCTTCAGTGTCCCAGCCTGGTCATTCGGAGGGGAAGGATGAGGAAGAGAGGGAGTGTAGAGGATCCATAACGATGTCTGTCACTGAATTGTTCTCTTTGTTCTTTGAGGAGTTCTCATATTAGGGATATATGCTTGAACTCCAAGAATTTGAAACAACTGAAATATTATAGTCTAATACTTCTAAAGTTTGTTCTTGGCAAGTTGCTTATGCATTGATTTGGATTCAACAGGGAACGAAGAATTGAAATAGAATTGCTCGATGAACCTTAAATGATGAGCATTTTCAAAAACTAGTAATGAGATAAAATATCAATACCATGAACTCAAAGTGAGACTGATAGCTTAGAATCTAATTGAGCAGTAGCCTAAGTTCTTTCAGAACTTTATTCAACCTCTGGGGACTCTGTGCCTGTTGGCTAGGTAATATAAGCACTGCCTTGCAGAGAAATAGTCCAAAGAGTGATGAATAATTCTTGATGTTAAATAGTATCAAGATGCTGTATACATGGAACCTAAACCCGCACCAAGATTTGACTTCTCACTGGAGCTCTTTGGCGTTTGGAAACTGAGAAGGCGCTCTAAGATGCATTCATGTTGCAACAATGAGTTCATGACTCTTGACATGACTAGACTTTTTGGGTTGAGATGTCACATTGAACATTCAGACAACACTTTGACATGCTTTTCTATTGCAATGATGAGTTCATGACTCTTGATATGATTAGAATAAGAATTGTTCAATTGAGATGTCATTATGTTGAGCAACCTTGAGAAAATACTAAAGCAATGACAAAAGGATGTTTAGGGTATTTGGAGTCACTATCATCAAATCTACCATCTTAAAAGTCTATTACTCTTTCTATTTCACGCATACTTTCACATTATATGTTACACATAAAATGTTAAGTTTCTACTGGCTACCATGGATTATCCCTGCTGACTTTTGCCCATTGTTCTGATGTGCAATAGACTTTTGCACGTCAAGCTACTTCCATATTATGCTTCACATATGTTACTTATATCTCTACCATGAATATTGCCCTTTTGTCCTGCTCCGATCATTTTAATGTGTATACCTCTTGTGAAATATATGTAAATGTCATTTTAGAGCATGGAACAAAACGAACATTAGTTACCAACTTTGCAAGACAAATATTAAGTAGTACCAAAATCCATCAGAATTCTGAGCATAAATTAATGCCATAAAAGAATTTATAAAATTTCTCAGTGGAACCATATATAGGAAAATTTTATCAAATTGTGGTATAAATTCAGTTCCAAATCAGAGACACATCCATTAGATAGTTGCCCTTATAGGCCTTCTAGCCTGCATGGTTCAAGTTGTTGCCCTTAGCAAGAATAGAATGAAAATCCTAATATGTTTATCAAATGCGTGGATGGTTTTTAAAACATGTCAACATTAGCTGGCTTCGGAAGATTACACTTCGTAGATTCATTAGCATGCATTATGTCTTCAGAAGGGACTTTTTTTTTTGTTTCTATAGCAGCTTTCTGAATTATTCAAATGAATTACACAACTAACTAATACAAGTTTCTCTGGATGATTATGTAGTTCTATAGTACTAACACTTCATGAGTAGGAAAAGCACTGAGAGAAGATCATATATTTATAATCATTTGTTTGTGATCTGTTAATTCTTCTATATACTAGTGGTGACAATCTTCTTAATTCTATGCCTCAAAATGCTCTTTCTTGCAAATTTATATTTACATTAACGATGTACTGTATCCTTTTAGCGTTCGACTTGAGAATTGGTGTTTCAATTGTGATCCTTCTTATCTTCTGCTTCACTTTTCTAGCTTTGCCAACACTCTTTTACCAAGGTCATAAAAGCTAAACTCGACAATATACAAATACTATTGTTGATGGAACTTAAGTAATTCAAGAAGTTCCAGTTTTCAGCTAAAGTACTTTTCAGGCTCTTCTGTCCGGTCTTGTGACTATGTCAATACAGTTAGTTTGTAGGATATATTATCCTCCACATTCCTTCTAGAAACTAGTGGTAGAACTGCAAATTGTAAGTGCAGTATATCAGAGAAGTGTTAAAAGAAGCTTGTAGTTTGTATGAGAAGTGTTCAGTAGATCTAGTATTTTGCTGTTGCTCAAAAAATTGATATGTGCTGAACATTGTGTCATACATTTTGCAGGTTTAGAATCAGAGAACTTAAACAGAAAAAAGTTATCGGTCAAAGTTTTAGAAATGTACAATAAACATGACGTTCGCTAGAATTGTTAGATAGTTTGACAAATGTCATCAACACTTTCAACAGGTCCTCTGCCATATAGTCAAGATTGTAAACTGTAGTGGTGGAAACTTTCTGTAGAGGCACATTTGTCATCCTTGACTGGAGTAATTGGGTTTTATCCACTAGCCATGGCATAAGCCAGACTGACATTTATGCTTTCAGAGAAAAATAGGTAGGATTTTGTCAATTTTTGATGCAGAATAGGATAAGGAGGTTATGCATACAATAAACCATCTAGTCAATAGGGATCATTCTAGGCAAGCAATTTTTAAGATAAAAAAAATCCCTTAATGGCATTTGTATCACCACAACCACTACCAAATTCATGTCACCTATAATCTGTACATTAAGATCATCTCATTTGTCAGATTACATACTAGTGGCATGAAATGTTTGATTCAGTTTAATGACTTTTGCCATCATAGCCTCTTTCATGATCTTGGACATTTATTCTGTTCTTTAATCAGCTGTAGTAAGATTTCACCAGATCTTCTGCTAGATAATGCCACTTTAAAACATCAAGCTTTAAATGATAAGATTTTTTTGGGTGGAATTAGGCTAAAGAAATCCTAGCTGCATTATATTGGCATTGTCTGCAACTTATCTATTGTAATTGGTATTGTCAGCCTCCTAAAGATGTACTTTCCATGTGTTTACATTTCATTCTTGGCATACATGCATTCTCGAATCTTGTTTAATCAAATCTTGCCCTTTTCTTCATATATCTCTCCTTTGGCTGCTCATTCAAATGTTAAGATAAGAGCTTCTTCTGGTGTTCTACTTATGCATGATGATCAAAATCAAACAGATAAAGAACTAAACATTAGGTTTACAAGAATTGGCCTTTTCTGATATTCTTTCTGTCTGGGTAATTCGTTCTTTCTCCTTTCTCTATAAGCTTATGGAACTCTCAATTTTAGTTGGTTGCAGGAAATGTGCAGCCATACAAGTTCATTCTTCCACCAACTTGGAAACAGCTCCGCGTAGCAAACATTTTGTCAGGCAATTACTGCCAACCAAAGTGCGCAGAACCCTGGGTAGAGGTGAAGTTTGAAGATGAAAAACAAGGAAAGATTCAGGTGGTGGCTTCTCCTTTAATACGCCTGACCAACAAACCTAATGCAACAATTGAAGACATTGGAAGTCCAGAAAAGGTCATTGCTTCTCTGGGCCCTTTTGTTACTGGAAACACCTTTGATCCAGATGAACTCCTTGAAACTTCTGTTGAGAAGCGTGGTGATCAAATGGTACTTAAGTTTCTACTCTTAACACTCTTCATTTTCTTAAACTAACTTCTTTTTCTGCTACCTTTTTTGGTTTAACTTCGTTTCATATAATCCCTCTATTTATCTAGTGAGGCTTGGGAAAAAAAACGGTTATTGTTCTGATGTTGCATGGAATGAAAGACGGCTTCTTATCGTCTTCACGTGGAATGAGTAAATTGTTGTAAAACTCGATGAGTCTTTGATGTTTCATCATTAATCTAAACAGGAACTGCATTTATAGGGCTGAGCTAAATACAGAATGAAACAGGCAAAAGAGAACATCGGGAAGTCTTTTATATTCTCTTCTGAAGAGGAACTGCGCCATAAGGCTGAGCCAAATACAAAATAAAACAAGCAGAAGAGAAGTCAGCAACAAAAAACATTAAGTATAAACTGTACATGAAGAGAACCATTTGGTTCTGAATTTGCAATCAGCGAAGGTATATGTCCTCTGTTCATCTGGTTTCAAGTGACTGTTCAAAGAGTGTCAATTAAATTACACAAGATGGTTGAGTTAGGCATGAAAACAAAAGATTTAAGCACTTGCACTTGGAATCTGCAATTAATAGTAATGAGAAAAAGAAACGGATTATAACTTAAGAGCAGGTTTGCTTGGTTTATCTGCAACTCCCTGATTATTTCACTGCCATCAAGTTCAGTGTCAGATTTTTGTTTTTCACAACAATCTTCCAGAGTTGTTTTGGTGATTTTATTTTATTTCTTTACATGTATCTAAGAAGACACAGAACTATGTGTCTCAAATCCTCAAAAAACTTTGGAATGCAGCATGAAAGAACTATACATATCAAATTCGCTAGAAAATTTTGTGAAGCTGACTAGTCCGTGGAATCATTTGTTATATATGTTGATTCTAGTAAAAAACTACTTTCAAGCAAACACGTCTGATGATCAGGATCTCTCCTTTTTCTTGCGCAGTACTATAAGTATGTTCTCGAGACTCCATACGCTCTGACAGGATCGCATAATCTTGCAAAGGCAACAGCCAAAGGTAACACTGTGGTCCTCTTCGTCGCCAGTGCCGATGACAAGCAATGGCCGTCATCCAGGACAACATTGCAAGCGATCCTGGATTCCTTCGAAGTGTAATTTCTTACAGAATTCTTAGTCAAGTTCTCTTTTACTCTTTTGACCTGATATGGAGTTAAAATGTGCGCCTGTTGAACCAAAATGTTCTGGTTTACATGTCCTATACCTCCCTATGTTCTTTGCCTGCATTAACACAACGCAGGAAAGCCATGTCGAAGTTTGAAAAGCGTTTCTGATGTAATGAGCCCTGAAGGATCAATAATGTTCCTTTTGTACTTCACGACCAACCCCAAGAAGTGGAAGGCGGAGCAATTACAAACGTCTGGAAATTAAGTGATAATTGTCATTACAAACCGTTCACACTAATGAGTTGTTTCGTTTGCTTTATGGAGGATTAAATGAGTGTAAAATCATCTACCCAGAAACTGATAACGAAAAGGTTAGAGCAATGGGCTTAAATTGTATATGCTGACCCTCTTCCTCAGGCTCTAACTGAAAAGTTCGTATACAAGTAAATGCATTATCAGGGCATGTCCTATGATCATTAGTTTTCTTTTTCTGTTAAGATGGGCTATGGTAACATTGGCATGCGTTACCAGGATAGAGTGACTAAGTAGACGCAAAACAGAAATGAGTTCTTGCCTGCTTCTAAATATAGCCTTTCTTGTTGACTTCAACTTGGTACTATGGGTAAAGCTGGATTGACAACTACATCCAGCAAAGGAAATTTATTATACTGTACGACAAGAAAAACTTGATGACAACCACCACCCACTGAAGAAAAACTGTTAGAAGTATACGTCAAGCCACCAAAGACTTCCGCAACTGGAGGTACCACTCAGCAAATGAGCTAGCATGTTGAAAACATTTATGATGTTCTGCGTGTGAACTTCCATGCTTCCATCCCCTGAGCTGCCTGATGATTCTTCACCCTCGGAATGAAAAATTTTCGAGTCCCATTCGGAGTGACTCAGCCAATTCCAACCAAAGAAGCAATTTACTAATTTTCTTTGGAAATACCAATTCCAGAATGAATGGCTGCAAAGACTTAAAGACCACCTATTATACCCTCCAAAAAGATGGGAAAAAAAAAAGAAGACCACCTATTATTTTCTCATGGTTCATTCCAACTCTTTTAACAATTTCCTAATTATTTGTAAATTTGGATGCAGCAACTTGGCCACAAGATCTCCTAAAGATAAAACATTTGTCAGATGAAAACTTCACAGCACTTTAAATTTTCAAATTAGCATAGTACATTAATATAAAAGGATCACTGAAATTGTAAGTACTGCATGTATCATCCTAATAGTAGAAAATTACACTGTCCAGTCTCATAAAGAGGTTAGCTTATTCAAAAGTTCAAGCTATAGCTATCTTACCTGCCACAATTACATAGCTTTAGCTATCTACAAAACTGATTAATATGATGTCTATAGTCTATTACTATCACCATGGAGCTCTACTTCCATCTTCAGGTAGTAACCAGATGAGGACCGGCTCCCTTGAATGGGAGCATGCATGAATAAGTGACATATTTGACACTGTCTATCAGCACAACAACAAAAATCCGAGAGAGGGATTTTGCTCCCATCACACCATCAACATCTGCATCACCTACCTCCCTAGGATCCACGAGCACAGAAACAACCATTGGTGAAAGCAAGTTATTTCCGCTAAAGTTCTCTTTCTTTGAGGTCCTTCCTACATCTTCAGATATGTTGTGAGACGACCCAGGAAGGGGAATAGGAACACCACGGAGAATCCTTCTATTCCTTCCTTTGTTGAGATCTGTAGAATTCCGGCTTTGCTTCTCAGTGACATTCCTTGCAGAAGTAGCTGGAACAATGGCTCCTGGGCCCGAAGCTGAAGACACATCAAACTGGAACACTTCAGTGCACATTCCTGAACTTAACATTGGACCTGCGAAAAGGGGAACAAACAAAGGTCATGAATACCAAGAAAAAAAATCGTAACCAATAAGAATAATCTAAGGGAACTGAAATTCCTCATGCGGCACAAAATGAATATCAGAACTTGACTCTGAAAGCCTAAATCTATGTCAACATGACTCGGATACAGAGTCCAGCCGACACTGCTAGTCTAGTGGAAAATGAAGAGTCAGAACACAGCTACAGTAGGGCCCAGTGAAGAGTCCGGGCAACATAGGTCTAAAGCTTATGACAGGTGTGGTAAACTAAGCTCCTCCCCCCCCCCCCCAAAAAAAACACAAAAAAAGGGGGAAATCTGTGGAGCAGTACGATCATAAAGTCGTCTTCCACCAAAATCACAGGATTCTCAACTGGATAGCAATCCTTTGGAGGAGCATGAGAAAATCAAATGATTAGTCCAAAGGAGGGCAATAACAAGAAAGTAACATAAAATCTTCACTGTGCAAGAGATACCCACACATCAATCCATCGGACTCCAGAATCAACAATAGAATTGCTGATACTACAAGAGGCTGGCCAAAGAAGCAACATATCGTATGAAAACCAAAATGCAAAGAAGATGTTACTTAATCACAGAAACCAAATTTCATATAGCAGCGCGAACACAACTTTAAGAGCACAAACAGTTGATATGATGCAAAACACACTACTCAAAAGTAAACGCAGAAATAATGAATTGGCAGAAGAAGAAAGCATTTAAAGTAACTTACCAGCAAGGCCCTCACGGAACCACTGCTGCAATCTGCCATCAGCTGCTGGTGATTTCAAATTGTCACTCCCAACAGAACCAGAACCAAGAGCCCTCTGTCGATCAGTTGAACTTCTATAGAGGTGAGCAGGTCTTCCACCCGAAACTGGTACAAGCCGAGTCTCACCACCCACTTCACTTGCAGCATCTTTACGAGACGCCATGGCTTTCTCACTAGCCAAAACAGAATGAATTATCAAGTTTCCATCTATCTTCACAAGTTTGTCATTCCTTGGAACAAACAGCGAGGCCACAAGAGGCTCAGTACCATTGAGCTTATTCCCTTTTTCATTATAATCTTTTCCACCACCAAATTTTCCACCATAATCACTATCAGTCAAATTCCCACTTGCGGTCAACACTCTGCCATGATGTTTCTCATAAAACTGATTCTCAATGTAATCCGTTCCACCAGAAAAAGCCTCCCTCACACCCCCATACCTCACATTCACCATGGGAGCCAATCCACCAAATAGTAGTACAAAACACAACAATCCCAAGAAACTAACACTTGCAACCTTCTTAGTCTTCCCTTCAGTCTTCTTACTGTCCGCCTTCTTATTTCCTTTCGGGGCAGGAGCAGGTTGCTGGGATTTCAACCTTGGAATCGGAACCAATGGCACCTGCGATCCCTGTGGCTTCATCATGTAGGGTGGAACGCCACATGGCATCCACGGGTACATCATTGGTGGGTACACGCCAGGTGGTGGAGGCGCCATTGGAGGTGGAGCCACCCCGCCACCACCCAATTGCTGCCTCAAGGTGGCATTTTCAGCCATAAAATATGTAATTTTTGCATTCAGATCTTGAATTGTAGAATGCATATTTTTCACCTTATCTTCCAATTCCTCAACATAATGCTTCTTCCTTTGCCGTGACAACTGAGCACTCTCTCTATTCCTGATTAACCTAGCTCTTCTCCTCTCATCTTCTTCACTCAAAATATTGTTATTGCTATTACTATTCTCAGCATTACTAGCCAAATTAACACTGGATTTTTGAAATTTATTCGTCCTCGATTCAACGTTATTGACATCTTCGCCTTCTTTTTTCCTTTTCAACAATGATTTATTGTTAACTTTACAATTAAATTCTTCGAACTTTATTTTTTGATCAACAACTCCATTTTTCACTGAATTATTTCCAAAATTAGAAGAAGAACTCACCGATCTATTGGAGTCCTCGGAAACATTGGAGCGGCAATTATTGCCGGAACCCTGAGACTCGGGCGAGGGACAATCCCTCGAATCATTCGACCCCTTTGACCCATTTGACTCCGGCGACGGCACATTCAAATACCCGGAGACATCATGTCCCCGATCACCTGATGAACTAAGATTCATCCCGGAGCTCCGATCACCAGAAACTTGATCGCTCGACACCTGACAAACCTCCGGTTCCAGCGACAAAGACCGATTAGAAATCAGCCCTTCACCAGATACACAATTCTCGCCGGAAACATGAGCAAACTCCGCCGACGTCGTTTTGAAGGCCCTAGCAACATTCTTCAAACTCCGATCAGGGGGAATTTGACTCAAATTCGGGTCGGACCCATGCAACACGAAACAATCAGAATCAAACTGATCCGGGTCCGGAAGGGGAGCCCCAGCCCCAGCCGGCAAGAGATCGTCGAAGGAGAAATCCAAGTCGAAATCGAAGTCATCAAATACGACGTCGTCGTTGCCGTTTTGATCAAAGGGATCAAAGCTTTGCCCGTTAGCATCCCCTAAGGTAATATCCTGGGACAAAAAGGTATGATCCAGGGGTGGAATTGCTAGGCCGTTGAAATCATGCCCCCCCGAAACGCCGCCGTTGGGAAGCCTTTCCGGTGGTGGCGGTGGATCCACCACCACTGTTTCGGCCATTTTGTAAAAACAAAAATAAATTAAAAAAATAAAATAAATGTTTTGGTGAAACGGTTTCAGGGAGAAAAGGTGGTATGGAAAATTTCAAGCATTTGGATAAGGGGGAAAAAGGGGAATAAATATCGAAAAAAGGGAGTTATGGGCGTCAAGCGGCGAAAGGGGGTTTAAGCCTTAAGGGGATTTTGGGCGAAGACAACGGGAATGGTTTACCTGTGTCGGTGGGCCCGAACTGGGTTTGGACACGTGAGGGGAGATGAGGGCGTTGATACCACGCTCTGGTCAAGTTGTCAATGTGAATGGCACTTGTGCTAGTATTACATAGGATTGGTATGTAAGTATATTCAAATTGTTTTTTGGATTTTAGATAATTATGTGACTTTTCAAACAAAATATATGAACATGTTTGAATTTCTTTTAAAGATAATACACATTAATACGAATTATTCAAAAAATTTTAGTATTATATTTTTGTAAATTATGTTTTGATTTTTTTTAAAAAAAAGTTTTAAAATATGTTTAAGAATGATGACATATCATCAATTATACTTTGATTTTGAAAAAATTTTAAATTTGTGTTCAAGTTATATACAAAACGCTAAAAATGTGTTTTTTTTTTTACATATTTTAATAATAAGGTGATAAAATGTTACCATGTTTAATATCTCATACGCAAAAATAAGAGTTCAAATTGGTATTAACACCGTATAATCTTAAAAACTTATAATAATTTTGCTTGTATTTTAATTTTGTAACTTTTGAATATATTTACACTATTCCAGTATGTTTATATACTTAACTTTG